GAATTAATCACAATGAATAAATTAAAAATAACAATTGACCTTATTTTACAATGACCACGGTTGTGGCCGTTCAGTATCATACATAAATAGGTTTTTTAAATTTTAAATATCAACGTAATTTTAAACAGAAATAACGTTTTATATGGTTGGTGGATTTTAAAATATTTATTATCATTTAAACATACAAAAATAAAATATTTTTGTTTGATGTGTCAAAAAATGTTTCGTTCTGTATACAAATAATTCATTGTATTATACAATGCAAATCATACTATTCTTCGTGATTGAATGAATCATAATGATAATTAAAGTGATTTAACAAAACGCACGACTATAATACAGGTGTATTACCAGTTTGTAATATCATATATTTTTAAAATGTACCACAGTTGATATTACTTTCTACTGTATAATTTGTTTTGAGGAATCAGCAATTCATCTGAGCACCATATTACGATAAGTATATATAAAAGTTATTACATTCATGCAAATGCCTAGTTTTATTATTGCTTACTTATTCTTATACGCAAACAATACTTTTTATTTAAAATATGAAAAAATAAACAAGAGCATAAATCGCATTACAGTAAAAAATGAATCTGTAAAATAGTTTTGATAGGGTAGTTTAATGACGTTTAAAATGATCGTAATAAAAGTATAACAATTAATAAATAGGTCATTAAGCGGTATTTCGTTCAATCATCATTTCGTTGATAATCAGTTCGTCGTAATAGTGCATAATATTCTCCATGACCATTTATTATATTGTTATATATTTAGAAAAATGAATAAGTAATGAAAATATAAAGAGCCTAAAAAATAAGCCAGATATTTTTTCTTTCAGTAGGTATATTGCTTGTAAAATAGCTAGAATTTTTCAGGAAAGCTGATGGACACCTCATTAAAAATGGAGTCTGCATATAAATGTTACGTTCATACATTTAGTATTATGTAATATAGGTATTACATCTTAGATATATGAGTAAATAAGTTTAGAGTTTAGCCGGTATATCGTAATATAATCCACATACAGATCTTAAATTATTACTTGTACCGATTAGATAAGTACATAGATAACATCAAGTAGTATATTATATGATATAAACCGCGCCAACAGGGCTTGGAAGTGAAGGTAAGAGATGGTCCCGCCAGTCAATTAAAACGGCAACATCGGACCACGGGGTCTACGTTGGAACAATAATAATACATTAATCGTTGACTGAATCCGTCTTAGTTGTTATTCCATGCAAAAGTAATATAATGTTAACTTTATAGTATTGTACACATTTGAGTGTTCGCGAAATGTATAGACGATGTGTACGTTGTAACGATATAACGTGAAAATAAATGTAGATATTCAAATTTAGATTTTATTTTAAAACGTTAAACCGTGCACATTTAAGAAATTAAAAAATACAAACTATTAAACTTTGGTTTTACTAGATATTCCTTAGATTTTTTCTTAATCTTCATAAGAACATAGTTTTATTTCGCTTTAATGCATACATTCCTAAGTTTATTTCAGATTCATCTTGAAATGATTATTGTTTGTATCTTTTATTATATATATATATATATATAAACCTTTCACTTCTTGTATACAATTATATCGATGGTTTCGCAGTCGAACACGTGATCTCCATCCTCTCATGTTACCGACTAATCTATTTAGTTTCATTTAGCTTGACAGTCGAGCATCGGAGATCATTTGCTCGACTAATGAAATCCTCGGTCACTCATACCTTCAGTTTTCTCTTTTATTATTCTATAAACTAGTTCGTTTTCGTGCCTCAGTATGTATCATGTTCCGATTTTCGATCTTCAGAAAAATTGAATTTCTTCCCATCACTAGTGCAAAGATACTCTTTTCCTAACAAAAATACGTGGTTGCTCAATATTTCACGTTAAATTTGAACACTTTAATTTTTACCAGATTGCTTCTTACCTCGGAAGAGTTACGAAAACCATACGTGGCGGACGAATACAATAATTGGTGCGTAGAAATGTCTTAACGACGACTTATTGGCATACCCTTTCCGCTCGTGGTGTATTGCATATAAATATCATGTACACGCGCGCCGTGTGCTTTCGACTTGAATACAAATAAACGGGTAGGACGAGCCGGCGTGTTCAATGAGATTGGCCGTCATGACAGGTTGAGTGTGGGAGTAATGGGATGATGACGATATTCGGTACGCTTGGGGTGAGAGACCCGACGGTGTGTACTATTCAATGGGGACGACGGGTCAACCCGTCAAGTGCGTCGGGGAACGTGTCCGAAATAATTGCGATCCGGAGCGACCCGTGCAGGTCACGTGAGCGAAACGATACGGGTACACAACGATGTAAACGTACGCCGTTACATTGGAATTGAATACGACCCCTACCCCCTCCCCGCATAGATAAATAAATAAATCGAAATCGCCATTCAACGTATGCAACTCTTAAAAACAAACGTTCTCTTCAATATCTCATATGTTTCGTATAAATTGGTACCTACGGATTTGCTCAAGTTACGTATGTTATTCGAAAGCTGACTGATGTTGATCTTACATAGTTGTACTAGTATAATAACTATTACACATTTAGATATATTGCAACGTTACGTTCTATGTGCGAGCATCTAAGTATTTGAGGAAGCTTTTGCTTTTCGGGCACAGTTTTTTCTTTTTTAATGTACAATATTTTGATTTGTATGATTATGACCAGGGTTAGGATTTTATAGCATTTACATATTTCTTATGAGATGCTTAAAAAATAGCAGAGTAAGCTAAAAATGTGTTCCATGATACAGAGAACTCAAATAAAATATTTTATTTTGCTTTTTTTTGCATATTTAGAATTTTTTAGTTTTTAGTGTTTTTTTTTTTTGGGGATTTTTTGAGCCTTTTTTTTAATTTTACCTCTGTTTTAATCAAAATCGGGCATATTTCATGAAATTTTATTTTGGTAAACGTGTTTTTTGATTTATTTCGATCGATTTTTCAAGATTCAAAATTTTAAATTAAATTTTCATTTAAATTATAAATGTATAGATTAAGTAAATTGATAGATTACGGTGATACAACGCTGTACAATTACAGCGGCGATATGAAGGTTGGTATAATATGATTTCGTTTAAGTTACTTGGTTCTAATTTTTGTTATCTGCTGATTTTATTGGGTTTTTTTTTATCGATTTTTACTAAATCTACTAATAGTCGATTATCAACGAACGAGTGTAGAATTAGTTTTATACAGTCCACATTAAAGATGGAAAGTTTTGATCATTTCTGAATAGTTCATTATTTCACAGTTCATTCAAATAAATAGTTCAAATCAACTATTTTTAAGTTCACCTAGTTCAATAATTATATCGATAATATTGATATTGTTTGGAAATTAACAATTCGTTTTATCATTAATAGTACAGCACTGCACAGTTCAGTAGTAGTTCACACTATTTATGGGAAATTAAATATTTGTTATCTAATTGTAAACAGCTGTTTAAATTTACCGGATTTCGAACAACGAACCACAGAGAATTGTTAAAGAAGTTCGCGAACTATTTCATTTCTATAATGCTACCAAGTTTTTTCGAACTGTGAACTATTAAGTTACAGATACTGAAACAGTTCAGAATAGTTCATTAAAGTGAATAGTTTACCAATTTAACATCTTTAGTTCACATTTGTCTCATGTGCTTGTACAAAATTGTTAAATAATAAATTTCCTTTTTTTTTTTTGTTGCATATTTTGATGTTTTTATTGCATATTTTTAGAGCTTATTTAGCGATTTTTAAGGTAATATTATAGCGCATATTTATGTAATTTTAAGTACCTTAAAATCCTAACCCTAATTATGACAAATTATAATCGTCGTAAAATGCGTGTTTTGACGTCTCGAGGTGAACATTGAACATTTCAGTCAGACCGAGTCGAATCGGGATTCATGCATCGGGAGTCTCATCGGGAGTCATATGGAGGACTCGCGCACTTTCAGTAAACTGCCTCGAAAACTTATGACGCGCGCACGCATGTTCTGATGACATTCGTGGAGTTTTTTCTTATTCAAAAGATCGATCGAATTTTCCAATTACTTAATATTTGAGTTCGGTCATGTTTCATTGCTCATACTGAGTAACCATTTTAAATTTGGGCAAAAATAATTTTGAATATTTCTTTTTTCATCATAACTGTGGGTCATTGCGTTTGTTCTTATTTATGAATAAAACAAAAGTATAGATTTTACGAAAAAAATGTTGATCAACTCGCATCCGTGCCGCATGTGCAATCAACAATTATAGTGTTTGATGGTTTATTAGTGAACAGACGATAAAAATGATTATTATGAATGTTAAACGATAAAAAGCAAATTATTAAAAATGATAAATAAGCGTTTGAATAGTGTTTTCGATAATATTCAAATCATATACACTATTTTATACTGTTTAACTGAAAACCACGAGGATAAAAATGATTTGACTAGTGAAAATAATTACATTACACTATTTATTATTATTTAACTATTATTTCGGTATAGGCTACGTGATTTACATTTAAGTTAGAGTCATTCTACTTACCGAGTTTTCTTCGTCACTCATTTATATCTATTAACACTTGTCTCGGTTTTTTCTCTAATACTATTACTATCCGAAGCACATTAAAAATGCATCATACGCTAAATTTTTTTTTTAGTATCGGGTTTCTCGTAACTCAAACCACCCTAATGTCCAACTGCTATTTAACGAGTTTATAACTTGTTTGACCGTTGACACGGTCGCACGAGCAGTGTTTTATCGTTCATGCACGTTGAATACCAATAATGTAAAATACATTGGTTAGCCTTATCAGTAATAATAATCGTATTGATGATGAAAATTAAAGTTGTTTGAATGAATAAAAATGTAATGTGTATAGTCGCACGTACATAACCTGCGTTTTTATTTCTATTATTAAACAAAGTACATTATTACTTTGAACAATCATAATAATACCGATAAGGGTAACTATGAGACTTACCTTCATCTTGTTGCGGCAGCGTGAGGACTGACACGGCGAGAAACGAACCGGCCACCAACAGGAGCAGAACGTTGCGGGCGGCTAGCATAGCACACCCTCCTGCTGCTTATCACACGCGATGCTCTTGTTTAGCCGTCGTCACATTCCAATGCACACGCTAAGTCACACCTTAAAAAAAAAATGATTATAATGATAATGTTACAGTCGTAGAACTAATGTGTTCACGTATGAATGTTTAGGTAATGGGTGTGCACCGGATATCCGAACGAATTGGGAAAAAGGATTAAAAGAAAAAAAAAATTAAAAAATAATAATAATTGCAATTTTAATCGAAATAGTTTTGACGATCCAACAGTTTCCGAATGTGATTATACGATTCGACCGAGGAGTCAAATAGAAACCGACCGGTGTACAGCAGTGCGAAAGTACCGGTTACTTAACGGAAACGCTTTTGCGCGAATCTTCATGTAAATAATTCACTTAATAGTGCAAGCCGGTCGTGGAACGGATCACTGCCACGAGGAAGAGAAATAGTCGTGGGAGGGTGGAGGGGTGAACGTTAGTTGACATGTTCGTATACTGTTCATGTCAAAGTCATTGAATAAAGATTAAAGAAACCCAACTATTTCTGTAGTTATATTTGGAATTCGTTGCGTCAAAATATACGAGTACATGTTAAATAAAATGTTTCGATAAAAGTTGCTTTGCATGATTTCCGTGCGTTGTACTAATAACATTTATACTATTTACCAATAACTTATTTTAACAGCAATTTTTTTTTTCTTTTCATTGCATCTCAATAGTATAGTTCTTTTTTTAGAAGACTTCGGATACGAAGAAAAACCATAATCCTTCCTCCCTCTATAAAATGTTTCGCGTGAGATTGTAGAATACATCGCAGAAAAAAACGACTACGAACGATTAAATGAAATACGTATCATACAAGAAAAACTGTTTGGTATGTACCATCGGTATCTTACCGTTGAGACAGGGACGTGAAAAATAAATCAAATACCTAATACTGTTGTTCATATCGACTTTTCCGGAATCATCGCAGCTCATTGACATTTAGTTGTTGTCTAGACTTAGTACACGATATAGACGAGGGAAAACGGTACTTTTTTCTTAGTGTCCAATCGTCAAAATGTATAATATACTATGATAAAAGTTTGATAACGGGTGACGCGTATTTACTCATATTTATGGAAAAACTTATTAGTTTTTCTATACCGTCTTGTAATTATTATCACAAGCCGGTATCTTATATTTGTACACATGGATGGTGGTGTCTTTGTGACTAAACACAGTTGTACTTTGATGTATTTTATTATTTTTAATATGCAAAAGACGTCGGAGGTAATCATTTAAAAATATATTAATACGAGTAGATAACGCTTAATCAATACAGTTTCCGAGTAAACGCATTTGACTACAAAGCATAACGAGCTAAATTGAATACAAGAGAATTTGTTTCTTAAAATGTATTTATACCAATTACAATAACTGAATAGCATTGTGATTAGAATGATTAGATCGGATAGATATTTTGTAAATGATTACATTTTATATCTTTATTAATTTGCACAGGTAGCAATTCGTGACTAAAGTAACAGTGAAAGCAGATGAATGTGGACGTAAGCAAAAACTAATTTCCTAAAAGCCTCCAAAGAGTCTCGTATTTTGTGTAGAAGTATTTTGAAGGGTCATCTTTATACAAATAGTTTGGATATTTTATTTGATTTGTTGACCTTTCTAATGAATTTAAAAAAAAAAAAACATATTGCTTTTGAAAGAAAACTAGATACTCTACTTTCACATAACAGTTAATAAATAAATATTAATATATGGAAATTATTATGAATATAAATTATATTATTATATATTTATAAATATAAGCATAAGTATGTATATACCTTTAGGTAGACGATATCACTTTTGTTCATGATTTTTCTTGTTAACCGGTATTATGTGTTTTAATAATTTAATTTTTTTTCATTTTCAATGTCTAATAAAAATAATACATTTAATGAAAATACAATTTAATTTATACAATTGCTTAAATATTGGCATTTTTATAAAAAATATGTCTTGAAAAATGTTAACTTTAATATTTTTTGATATTCAGTAAATCAATAAAAAAAATTATAAAACATACAAATGAAAAAAAAAAAGAAAAATATGTTCAATTAAATATGATAAAATATGTGGTTGTAATCATAAATTATAAACATAATATCTTATAGTATCAAAAATACTTTGTGACAATATATTTTAATATGATTATGCAATCAACGACGAATCAATAAGGATAATATTATCAATGGCCTAAAAGTAGCCATAAAATCACAGGTGAGTTTATAGGAAATTATTATTTAAAGATTAAATTTTACAATTAATATATATATATATATATATATATATATATATATATATAGATACATGATGATACATTTTACTCATCCTCCAGCACAACTGATGTAGTAACCAATTCGCTATGCATTTTTCATTCGAGATTTGCGATGTCAGTCACGTATTAAAAAAAAAAGAAAAAAAAACCTAGTATAAAGCTCTGAAAGAGGAAATTAATGGGAACTCGGTTGGGTTACCAACTAAATTAGCATATTTTATAATGTACACATATATATACTATATATTATGCGTGTGTCTTACACGAATAACATTTTCGAGTACGTACGCAAGAAACGCATTTGAACAGTGTACGCCTTAAACTTGAAAATTGAAGATTCGAGAGTTTTTAGAATGTGTACATTCGTGTCGTTTGAAAACAACTCACCACCGCATACATCACATGATAAATAAATAATAATAATAATATTGCAGGCACGTTGTACGTTAATAATGTTAAGTGTACATATTGGTCTTAAAATACACGGATACGCTATCATGTTGTAAAAATGGGTAGCACCTAAGCCATGGACCGCGCAGCCACCACACGTTTCTGGTTCGCATTGAACTTGATAAAAAACAGCTCTTCGACGATAAGACAGTTAAACGTCAACAGTTAAACGATTTACATCAACAATTAAACGTCTAACCTAATTAATTTTCCGTTGTTGCAAACCTGTTACGATCTAGTTGAACGCAAACGATTACTGCGACGTCCATGCAGTCGCTTCCAACTATTTCAAAATGATGGCTTATACTGATACTATTCTAAATTCAATAATACACGTACTAGTGATACTATCTGTTTTTCAGTGTCGTCGCTATCCGGATCCAACGGTCTGAAAAATGGCTGTAAATAATAACGTAACGGCGATATCGATATTTTTCGTCGTCACGCTGCACACTATCGTGTGTTGTTTTCTTAATGGTCCATTTACGTTAAAGTCCGGATCCAACGAAATCCCTGCATCGCATTAGCGTCGTTGATTACCGAACATTACTGTTATCGATATTATGTTTATTATAATATTATAATGTGTTATGATGTAACAAATTGACAGTTTAACGTTATACTCATAATAATGTTACACGGTGAAACGGACGTCACGAATGCGTTTCGAACATAAAGTGTACTATGTATGAAGCTAAAAATGATGATAAAAATATTCCATTCGGTCGATTATGGTTTATACTTCGAATAACTGATGTTAAGATAGTGTTGTAATAACTACGATGTAACGGAATTGCAAATAACGTACTCAAACAAAAAATAAAAATTGAATTGAAAACAATTCCGGTAACGACATATCACGTCAATAATCGTACAGCATAATAATTTATAATGTACTCACACGTTATGCGGTATGTAAATTAGAGGTACCCGCGGTAGATGTTCGTCTATTCACGGTTAACCGGTTACTAATGAGAGTTAGTGGACGGATGAGGTGTAGTGAATCGATGAAAATAACTCTGTTGTTAACATTAGCGACAAACGTTTTTGGATTGGTGACCAATCGTGCACGTTAACCACCTATAGCGTTTTACCCTTCGTTTCGGACAACACGAGCTGAGCTCACCGAGATAAGTAAAAATCATAAACAAAATTAATTATTAATTATTATTTATACATGGGTTGTGTGTTGAATTAATATTTCTGTCTTATACTTATAAAGATAAACATTAAAATGTCTCATTTAGGCCTGTATTATTGTTGTAGGTAACCTACATCTTAGAGCGATCCACATCGATTATGGTCCGCAGGTCATAATTGGCTGAATATATATTTTCATACTTTTAAACTGAAATGATTATATTACTTTGTGAATATAAACATTTCGTTCGATTTAAATGTTTTTGTCTATTGCAGGGGTTGGCAACCTTTTGAACCACGCGGGCCATATTTTTTTTTCAAATGTTTATCAAGGGCCACATTAAAAAAAAAATTTTAACATATGATATATACTAATAATTGTATTGCTATTATATTTGATTATTTTACATAGAAATATGAGTGTAAAAAATAAGAATGTTACTGGAAAAAATTGCTTTTAAGAAAATATTTAATTTTTTGATAAATTAAAAATAATGGCTTATCTTTGTTTTCGACGAAAAAGTATAAATCAACCCAAGAATTATTAAAAAAACGATGTTCATCACAAGTTTTTCTTCTTTTAGTCGCCATAATATTTGGATTTACTTGTAAAATGAAACTATTATAAACGCAAACAGTCACACGTACGGACGTAATCACGATGTAATACTAATCGCTACAAACGAAAAGTAACTATGACTATAGATTAAACATTGAACAAAAATAAAACACAAAAATTAACCACCTTTATGCAGGCCATAAAAAATTGCTTCGCGGGCCACATGCGGCCCACGGACTGCGGGTTGCCAATAGCAGTTTCATGTTAATTGTATTATATTACGATTTTAGTTGTAATACAAAAATTAATTTCAATAAATATTATGTATTAATAATATTATTTAACAACCTGCAACCCCGTGCAAAACTAAACCAAAATATCAGCAGGACATTATGTTACATAATTGTATTGCCGTGCGTTACTGATTACAAATTATAGCTGCACAAATTAATTATTTATCAAGTTTTTAATCCAACAATAACATGATGAAATTTTGTTTCTTTTTGTTGAACCTTGTTTTAACTAAAAATCACGAAAGCAAAATGAGTTCAATAAAAACTAAAAACAAATGCATTAAAAAAAAAAAAATAAAATAAAAAAAGTGTTCATAAT